ATAAAATAGAATTAGAAAACATATCTATCTCCAACCTGAACTATTGTCAATAATTCCTTTACTGATAACATAAAAATTACAGGTGTGATTAGTTTTCACTTGTGAGGTAATTCTTAAATATTTTGCAACCACTTCCTCTTTACAATGAAATGTAAAATTTGTTGGATTGTCAACATGTAGATTATACATAGTTTGATTTGTGCATAGTATCTCCATCCCGTAAGCTACACCGAAAATCTGTAGGCCTGATTGAAAATCTACACTCTTGCTTAAAAGAAAGCCAACAGCAGTAATTTTATGATAAACTGGTAATTGTAAAAAATAATGTTGAGTAGGAGAGTAATTATTACAAATTGAATTTGAATAGATTGTTGAAGTGTCTATTGAATATCTAACACTGGCAAAAGAATGATTCAAGTTACTGTTTTCAATGGGTTCTTTTTTACCAAAAATATAAACTTCACATAGTTGCATAATATGATTTCCTCCAATTTTGTAAAGAGATACTCTGTCACCAATATACTGACACTTGAATAGTAATTGTGTTAAGTTGTATCTTAAAGCATTTGTTAAACTTGAGCAAATTTGTCTTTGTGAAATATTTAAATTCAAGATCATTTCAACTGCAACTTGAATATTTTCAAAATTTTCTAAATAGAATGTAAAAGACAAAAAAAATTAGTTAATGGATGAATAAGACAATATTATCAACCTCTAGGTGCATCATAAGGCCTAAGAATACCTATTTGATTTATCATATACTGATTCTCCAAATAGATAGTCATTCTACCTTCAGTGTTGCTGCTTGTCAAAGTTCCAGAACATGATAAAAATCCAGTTTCCAAGGTGTTCAAGGCCAAACCGTCTATAACCTTTATAGGATATTGGGCACTTTCTTCCTTTCCAGGAATACTATTAGCATTACTACTTCTATCAATATTCACAATTGGTAAAAGAGCCATATCATCATTTACAATTTCTTGACCATAGGCTTCTACTTCAACAATATTGATAACTTCTAGTTCATCAAGAAATAGGATGGCGAATCGGCCAACCGGAAATGGTGTTTCGCACGCCCATAGTCTATATTCTCCGCTGTTAAAACCTTCGTTATTGCTAAAGCATTTTTCAGAATGAGAAAGTTGTTCATCTAGGCTAAATTCTTGGAAAGTTGCCACAAATCCATTGATATGTCTTGCTCTTGTGTGTACTGTAAAGAGACATAAGATAGATGACATTATATGATAATATTTTAAAATAAACTATACAGTCTTCATCTCTGTTCAAAATTGCCATTTGAAAAATTGTATACGTTGCAAGCATATCAATTCTTGTCCATTCTTTTGTATTTGCTACGTCAGCAGAATGATAGAAAATGTCGTATAGACCATCTGTTAGTTTTTGAGGTGGGAAACGATAACTATGAACAGAATATGCCCATACTGGCTTGTGTAACAATATATTAGTATTTTGCTGATCAGAGTGTCTTAAATAATTGCCAAAAACTTCAACTTCACCAATAGAAAACTGAACAATGGATGACCCAATTAATCTAAGCACAACGTATTGACCTTTAACCCCTCCCTTAGGGCATAAAAGTGAATAAAATCTTTCTGTATACAAAGTATAAGTTGTAGTAGAGCTTGTTATTTCTCCGCATAAACTATATTTTGACGAGTTATATGTTAAATAAGGATTTTCATTGGTCAGTTCAACGCGAAATGTGTTAGAGAGCAGGGGATAATTTGTCCGTATTACGAAATCTATACCAAAAACGTTATAGTAAGCAAATAGATTGATTGCAACCCAATACTGCTGTCCCAATGAGACAGTTCTCATGACAGCTGAATGACCATCTGCTAATGTAAACAATTTTAAATATGTATATTTGTTAATGACTCCTTTTAAATAGGCTATGTTATCTGTAATTGAAAAAGAACAATAAGCATTCATTTTGTTTGTTTGTTTGTTCACTTTGTTGGCATTTACTTGAAAACACTTCAATTTCGCATAAATGTAGAAATTCTTGTTGTTTTTCAACAACAGTTACGCTGGAACTTCTCTCCTGCTTTGAATTTGTACATAGGATTTTAGTTGAAGAATTGTTTTCTAATAGAATATCGTCGTTATCTTCGGAGCAGAAATTATTTTCTGTATTCATGTAAATGTTCAATAGTTGAGTAGCTGAAATTTACTTTGAATGATTAATAGAAAAAGGCTTTAAACTTTTACTTTTCTAACTTTGTTGTTCGGTTGGCCATAGGATAATCTTTTTAATGATATGCATCCCTTTTAAATAGACTGTTATTTGGGGTTGTTCAGCTCCCTCTCTCTGTAATATTGTACACGAACCCAATTTAATATTACTGTGATGTAAACCGTCTACAACGTGTTTTGGATCGAGTAAAGGGCTGTTAAATTTCCCTTTGTATTCAATTTTGTCATTATAGAATGCTACGTTCGTTTCATTTCCATCTGCGTGTTCAAAGCAGATTAATCTATAAAATTTCGAATTTGAATCCTTAGCGAATTTCTCCGTAGCTTTCTCAAATACGTCTTTTGCGTAGTTGTCAAATTGCGAAACAGTCATTGATTGATGGTGATCGGGCTCAACTTTAAACCGTTTTGAAAAACAACCATTTCCATTCCATAAGAGATGATAACACTCATGGAATAGCGGTAGTTGATTATCATCTGTTCCGCAAACTCCTAACTTTTTGTCTGTTTTAGATTTAGAAAAATTTTTTATTGAGTTTGGATTAAAACGTTTCTTTGAATATTATTTTTTTTTTATACTTTTTCGAATAATCAACGAAAAGTCTGAATTGAAAGTTAATTGAGATATTTCTGTATAAAGCTTACAACTGACAGTTCCGCCATTAATATCATTAAATAAAAATCCAACACAATCAAAAAGAGTAATAGTTACACAAGTCGAATAGCATTGATAAACGGAACGTGTCACAACATTGGCTACCGGTCCGTTGCTGATGAATTTGTTTCTGTCCAAAATTAGATTTTCGCCTATTCAATTAGACAATTATTATACGAGAAGGAATACGGTATTTAAGGCTCCTTACTATCATCGCAAATTTCCTGACCATATTGCGGTTGGCATGAACATTTTCCTAATAAGCATTGTTCAAAATTCGAACAGTCATCATCAGTTGTACAAGAGCATTCTACACAAAAATAGAAAAGAATAAAGATGAATTTGTTGACCTATTTTCGTACAAATTACTTTATGACTTTTTTTCAACAGCACTAACCTGAGCTTTTAAATGATACGAATAAGAAGAAAGAGATTTTGACTAGTAATAAACTTATCATAGTTGAGATATCCAAGTGGAAATAATCTATGACGTGTTTAACGCATCATCTTCCCCTGCAAAATAATATAGAAAATATTTCCAGTTAATAAGCAAAGAAGATATTTAATATTTCATTTTAATTGAATAATCAAATACTTGTTCAAAATAAAAAACTGAATAAATGTATAGATGACTTATTTAAAAATTACTTATTTATATACAAAAGTCAAATGAGAGAGAGAGAGAGATAGTTTATTCATTGCAGCACTCTTTATGAAATATATTATTTATCTCTTTCTGAAAAATAAAAAAAAATCTTATGTTTTCTGGAATCAATTTTTATTTCTATTGACTATTTTGCCATTCTAAAAAACTTTTATATATATTTTATTATGTTTCAAACTATTATAGGCCTATGCCAGTTACAAATTCGTGTGCAAAAACATGAATTCACTGCGTAAATGAATACAGGAAATGTTCTATAGCTGATTAATCGTTAAAATCCATTGGCTATAACGTATTCTTTTAAGGAAAAGAGCTTGTTTCGAAGAAAAATTGCTCTGTTGCGTTTCTTCAATATATTTCCTTTTGTATTGAAGAAATCAATTATTTCTGAACGAAAATAGGAGAAACAATCAAATCGGATCAACATTACAGTTGATTTTCCTAAATGATGAATAATAAAAAAAAAAAAAGAGGGCTGTTTTGTTTTTGAGAGAATTCTTCTTTCTATTGTAGAATCTTGAATGCCCTTTTGTACTTTTCTGTTCCATATCACTTGGTAGCGAGAGCCAATATTCCAATAAATCGTCTAATAAAGATCTTATTGAATTAAAAACCCCCATTACTGAGTACAAATACACTTTTTCCATTTTTTTTCATTCGCCTGGTAAACGATGACTACCAATAAGTTTAGTAAAAGCGAATTTTGGTTTCTTACTGCAGGTTGAAATTGTTAAAATATCATTTTTACACTCGTTACACATTTTATTTCAGCTATTTTAGTTGTTGTGAATGGAGAAGATGATATTGCAAGGAATAAATTAACGTTCCAGAGCACAACAACTTATCCAAATATTGCAAGTTTGGCTACTGATAGTACAATTGAAATTAATGATGTTTGTTGAAAAGATAGAAAAGAAATATCTTTTACTAAAAGATGATTGTAAACCTATTTTTTTAGCCTATTAAATGCTCGAAAACGAACCAAATTCTAGAGAAAGCCTGGTGGACAGTTGATCTGGAGAAGGTGTATAGTGTTGAAAAAGTTTGCATTTTGAATGGAAATATACCGGATGGTCTGTTGAATACGATTTATTAAGTTGATTTTGATGAAATGTAAATAATAAATTTCTCATTTCTAGCTGCGAACCTCACTAATTTCGTCATTAAAGTATCAAATTTTCCGATGGAAGGCGAAATATGCGCAACTGTATCTTCGTCAATAAAAATACCAATGTCAACAACTGCAAACGATTACGAGTGTTTTGGGTGTAGTCCCGCAATAGTTGGGTCTTTTGTGTATATTGAACACCAACAGAATGGGGCTGATTTGCAGTTGTGCGACGTTAAAGTGTCTGGTACATTTGTAAAAGATAGAGGTTGAAAGTATTCGATGAGTAATTGATTAAACAAAACATTAATTAAACTTTCCAGATTATTCTGCATTAAAAATGACATCGAATGATCTGTACGGTGTAGCATTTTCCAGTGCGCAGAGACATTTCAATAAGGCGATTGATAACGATTACAGTACTTATTATCAAGCGGAAATATCCGTTAATAAACCATATATTATGGTTCGTCTACCAACTCTAACTCAAATTGTTGCAGTTTTGTTAATTCCCGGCTTAAATGAATGTAATTTCTTTAGATTTTTAATCTAATTCCACTAAAAACGTATTCTTTCAGTAACTTCAAAGAGTCTTCAAAGAACCTTTGTTAATATTAAACATATTCCAGACACATTCACACATATGACTTATAAGATGTGTTTCCACAACAACTTTCTAAGTGATAAAGGATTATACGAGGCTGTTTTCAAAAAGTGCAATATCGATTTATCCGGTAGATATATCTATATAGGATCAAAGCCTTCGGCCAATTCAATTTTTGAACTAACTGAGCTTGTTATCTATGGAAAAGAAAGAGAAAAAACGTTTACATATTGTAAAAAAAAAAACCATTTTAAAAAACAAACATCATTGATTTCTTTTTTTTTTCTCATTCAAGCTCAGGGATTATCTCGTAAAGAAAATATTCAATCAATTCTTATCAATGGAACAAATTTAGATAGTGGTACTTTGAATTTATTAACCGACAATATTTATTACGCTTCAAATTCTTTGTCGATTAGCTACAATACCAATTTGATTATTGCTTTCAACTCATCACTCTTAAACCACGTTTGTCTGACAAGTGAGTATAAACATATCGTTGATATCAAACATAACATTTATTCAACCCCTTTGTTGAACACCTTTACCAGTGAAACATAAGAATATTAAATGGATACAAAATCCTTATATAACTCTTGAGGATTTGTTAACTGGTAATACAACTACACACCAATTTTTCTACAGTTTTAAATCAATCAATACTGTTTGTCAACAATTTTCAATATCTTTACTGGAAAAAGTTGTATTAGAATTTACAGATTTTCATGAAATTTCCGAAATTGACCTTCATGGACTTACATTGATGACTTACGATTGTAGTTATATAATAAGATATAATATTCATATTTCTTTTGAGAAATACTAGATAATTTGTGTTCATTTTCTGTTTTTTAAGATTCCGATACCTGTTCCTTATCGCAACGAGAAATTAGCTTGACAAAGTCTTCTGGATGGACTGCCAACATTCCTCACGTTGTTGAAATTATCGGCGATGAATTGAACAAGAACATGCTAGTAACAACGCGTGTTGCCTCCGCTAGCGGGTTATCAAGACAACTGTGCAGCTATAGAAGCTCATTTTTTCCAATAGGAAAATCAATTTTCGTATGTAATTCATTTGAAGAGAAACTTATTGTTCATCCTTTTGAAAATATTGCTAATATCAAAAAAATTAGTTTTTATAAATAAACACAAAACACGCATTCAGCATAATCGTAATAAATACAATTAGTTCAATTTTGAACTGAGATTTAACGTTATTGTTACAAACAATCCAAATTCGGGATCGACAGAAAATGTCCTCGGATGACATATTTCGGGATAAGATTTTGGGTTGAAATATGGTTAAGAGGAATAAGACGGCCACTCATCTGTACTTAAGGACAACCCATCTAAGGGTTATGGGTGATAAACATGGTAAAGAAATGACAAGGGCTAGGTTAGGGTTAGGGTTTCAGGACGTTTTCTGTCGCAACTTTCAATTTTCCGTGTATAAAAAATATGCTTTGAAACTGGCCAGATTGGGAGGTAGAGATAGAGATAGGGATAGCTGATTAGAATGAAAACTGCAAGAGTTTTTTAGACTCTTCAGTTAGTTGATGTTATCCAATCATCAATTTGCAGTTGATGAATGCTCTAGTCTATGTTTAGTAAGAGGATGTGGCAAAGTCCAATAGACATAATTCTTGTGTTTTATGAAAGCTAATAACACGGCTTAGGGTCAGAACGCCCCTGGTCAGTACGCCCCAGGTCAGAACGCCCCAATTTTGGGTCAGAACGCCCCATTCTTGATTTCGAATGCCCCACTCATGAGTCAGAACGCCCCACTGATTTTTGAAGAACATAATATTTTTTAATGCTGTACTTATTAAATTAAAAAAAGTCAATTGAATATAAAAATATATATGCATAATGTATTTTTTGTCTTAAAGTACAAAAGCTTAAACAAATATAATAAGTGATCACAAAAAAAGAAATAATTTTTCAAGCAATGTTCAAGTCAATTAAACCCTTTAAGAGATTATCTAAACTTAATTCTCTTACTTCAAACTTCTTCCACAACTCAAAGATAATATCCTGCAAATCTTTATATTTATTCTTCTGATTCTGTCTCATTTTATTTTCCACCAACATATCCTCATAAACTTCAATAAGGCTGCTTTCTCTATGAAGTTCAGTGATAAGAGTATAAAAGTTTTCATTGCTTTTCAAATTTTGATTGATTCTTGTGTGCCAAGACTCTACATGATTATTTGTACGAACTATTAATTTATAAACTGACCAATTTTCTGGTTTCCAAATATTGCTTTCAATGTAAGTAGATTCCATATACTCAAGAAGATCAGCATATAAATTCAGTTCCAAAAGTTCCTCTTTAATTTGATAAAACTTTTGTTTGATGAATGATGCTGGTAAGTATGCTAGACACATTAGTTTTCTTAACACATTTCCTTTATAACCTTTCATTTTATAGTCCTTGATGTATCCTAATTTCTAAAAAGAAAATTTGTATTTGTTAATTTCTTAATTTCACAAATTAAATCTGTAACAGAATTGTTATAATTACTTTAATTTACCTGTATGTTTTTAAGAATTGCTTGTTTAAAATGAAAAGCACATCCTTGTAGATCAGAATCAACAAAAGCATTTTTTAAAGATATCCAAAGAGCTTTTTCAAAATCAAGAACAAACTTTTTTGGGCTTTTTCCATCTATTAAGATTTTTAACTCCTTGTAAAGAAAAATATATCTTTAGAATTTTTACTCAAATATTTACTTTAGAAAGCCAACCTCAAATATCAATGAATAATGTTTCTTCTTCTTTCCTGTCATGAGGACAAACATTAAAGGAACTTGTTTATATTCACCTTCTTTTCTTATAAATCCATGAATTGTAAACAATTGGTAAAAAGGTTTTCTCACAATTTTAAATGTGGCATCAATAAACCATATCTTACAATGTTTCAATAATTTAATTTGATGGTCAGTTGCAAACATCATGTTTCGGCTTTTCTTCCCTTTTATATCTTTTAAGAAAAAATTATCTGGAATTTCATTTAAATTTAATTCAAACATAATGTTTTCTGGGTGCTTTGGTCTGGCACCTTCTCTGTATCTATTAGCAGATCTTTTCATGACATCAATGCTTGGAATATGAGAAATATCCTTTCTGAACTTCAGACTGATATCTTCTGCAATTCTTTTACCAGATTTGTCTTTATCAATAATTGCAGCTTCCTTTAAATTTAACCTTGCTTCAATAATTTTTCTCATATCATTTTTCTCTCTTTTGTGAATGTGATTAGAATTTTTCAAAATGAACTTTAAATCTTTTTGAATTACAGATGCAAGACATGGTGATTTTTTAGTTCTTTGACTACATTTCCAGGTAATGGTTGTTTCACTTGATCTTTTTACAGTATAAGTAAAATTATTGTGAAGAAGAATATCTTTTCCTTTTCTGCTCCCATTCTTAAATATTTCAAAATCATGTTTTAAATTATCATTTAGACAAAGCTCTCTTGTATCATTAAAAGAAGATTCATTATTTATATCAATTCTTCTTACAACTGGACTATTTTCTGTAACAATTTTAGCAGGTTGATGTTGATCTTCTCTTGAAATTCCATCATTATCAATATCAATATCTTTATCACAACTCTCCATTCCATTATTCCCTGGAGTACTTGAAACATCAGGGAAATTAGATTCAAAGTCAAAAGATAACCTCAGCTATAGTAAAACATTAAATAGTTTTTTTAACAGATATTTGTTAAATATTTTGTACCTGTTCGGAACTTGAACTTTCACTAACAGTTTCATTTCCAAATACTTTTGAACATGTTGGTGATTTTTTGTTTTCCAGCTTTTTTATTTTAACAATTAGCTTTTTGTTTTTTATATTAAAACAGTCTATACAATAATCTGCATCTGAGGAAATGGTTAAATAGAAAAGAAATATTAAAGAATAAAATCTTACTATTTGAACATTTAGCATGGTAAAAGTGCCTACATAATTTGCATCTAAACTTCTTTTGAGTCCAATGAAACTTCTTCATACATTTCCAACAAGTTTTTAAATTCATCCTCCTTTTTTCAGTGAGACATTAACAGCAAAAAAATTAATTATACTAAGATGAATTATATTTAAGCAACACAATTTCTGAGAATAAACTGATAAAAAAAAAACTGGTAAAAATATTTATAATAACTGGTATATAAGAATATTTTTCTCTCAGCATTGTTTTCTATAATTCTCTAAAGAGAGTGGGGCGTTCTGACTCATGAGTGGGGCGTTCAAAATCAAGAATGGGGCGTTCTGACCCAAAATTGGGGCGTTCTGACCTGGGGCGTACTGACCTGGGGCGTTCTGACCCGACCCCCTAATAACACTATGACTGGGTCAATAGTGAGTGAATTTTCCTGACTGTGGCATATGTATTTGACCAATAATAGTTTAAAGACTAATAAATCTTAATTAATCTAATTATCTAATAGATAAGGCTGCTATGAAAATAATCTAAAAGGACTGAGAGAGAGAGAGAATAATAACAAAGGATGACTTCATAATTGACATACACAAACTTAAAATTAAAAATGGCATCCAGACTGAAATACTTAAGAAAGTAAGGATAAGGAATGTTACTTATTATTAATGAGTGATAAGGATATTAAATTAGGGAAATAATGATTAAACTTTTTAATATAAATTGAATTTTGGCAAATTGCCAAAACTGATAGTTGAGTTGAATTTTTTAATACATTTTTATTCCGTCTCGCGTTAACTGTAACTCTTCCATCTTGATCAGATTTTTGTGGTGGATTTGCACCCGTCCCGTGCCTCAATGGTCAGCTATTTAAAATGTAACATAGAACAACTTTTGTTCCATATCAAAACAACAAAAATCCAGACAGGCTAATCTTGGTTCTTGGCTTGCGTAAATTTTTATCATTTCCTGATCATGGTAAGGAAGAGAGGTTACTTCACAATCTAATCACAGTTGATAAAGAAAAGTTAAACGCTACAGTCTAAAAGAATCAGAGGCAGCCTTTGTTCCAAATCATCTATTGAAAAGAAAAAGAAAATCAGACTAGAAAAGGATAATAGAAATGCAAAAAGAAGAGCTTTGACAATAAAGCAGGATGGTAAAGATACAGGAAATGATTCCAATAGCAGCAGCAAGGAAGAAGAGTCATCGCAATCGCCATATTTTTTATTAATAAGCTGCTTATCCATTTTATACTCTGGTTATATGTAGATTGGCTATTCCAACAATTAAATATCTATTATAAAGTATTGGAGATTTGAGATTTAATAGAGCAGATACAACTAATATTCATTAGATATTATGTATATGTTCATTAGTTTAATATTTGAAGTTAGAAGTAGTTTAAAGAATAGTCCAAGTTGTAGATTGGGAATGTAGACCACTGCTCAACACTTGTACTACAATATTGTAGTTTTATCAATGAATGATATGTAACAATTTGAGTGTATGCCAAAAGTGTATAGTATGTTGGTGAGAGTAGTGTTCAGTGTACATTAACAACCTAAATATGTACAAATATACTATAAGCCACTCTAAGTACAAAACAATACCAGTTTTCAACCCAATTTCATTAACAAATTTAATAGATTTTTTGTGAGTGGTTTTTTTTTATTATCAGCGCCCTCTGTATTTATTGCGAAGAAATATAAAGTGTTCATTTGCAGACATGGCAGAGAATGAGTATATTTGCACTTTGGAAGAAAAATATATTAAGAAGGCTAGAGATGAATTGAATGAGATTCCAAGTGATAGGCTATCAGCTGTCAAAGCTTTGAGAGATTGGGTAAATGAACAGGAACATTTGACTTTTGATACAAGTTTGATATTTTTTGTAAACTCAAGATTTCTTAAATTTCTGTTTGTATTCTTTTTTATCATAGGAACATTTAGCTTGTTAAGAATATTGAGGCATAGTAAATTCAGTCAATCTAAAGCAAGATATACAATTGAAAAGGTGGCTTGTTTTTATTCTAAAAATAGAAATTCATTTTCCAACTTGGATAGCAGATCCGATGTAGTTCAAGAAGTTCTTAGAAGAGGGTAGGAAATGTTTAATAGTTTTGAAATGCAATATCATTTCTTGTAATCATATGGTTCTTTATTTAGCCATTTAATGGTGTTACCTGGATACGATGATGATGGTAGAGTAATTATGCTCTATAAGCTAAGTATGGAAGAGATAATAGTAATCTTCACGATTCAAATACATAATCTTTTGTGTATTGTTTAGATATGATACCCTTTGAAGAGTTAAAGAAGAAATATAGATTTTCAGAGTTTATGAAAGTGATGAACGTTGTCTTCGTTTCGCTCATGAAAGATGAAATGTTTCAAGTTAATGGCATTGTACTGCTATTTGATATGACTGGCATTAATTTGAAAATAATGACACTTTTCAACGATCCGGATTCGGTTGATTATCAAAAAGATGGTCAGGTATTGATTAAAATCATTGAGGATTATAAACAAAGGATTTATTGTTATCATTGTTTTGTTAATTAAACTAGGATGCTCAGATTGGTCGAATAAAAGGTATACACTACTATAACGTTGGAAGTTTATTTGAAACAATATTCTCCATTTACAAACCATTTATGAAAAAGAAACATAAGGAAAGGGTAAATTTTAAAAACACAGTTTGGGTTATAATAAATTTCTCTAAATATCTTCTCAATCCTTAGACGCATGTACATGGAACGCTTGAATCATTATACAAACACATACCTAAAAGAATGTTACCTAGAGAGTACTTACCGGATGATTATGATGGACCAATATGTGGATCTCTTCTAGAAATTGGAGGTGCTCAATTATACATTTTTTTTATATTAATAAAATTTATCTTTCTTTGTTTATTTTCCAGCTCAAACAGCTGATCGGGTACTAATGATGAGAGATGATATTCTAGATATCTCCAATCCAGCGCACTTGTCCTATAACGAAAGCAAGAAACCTGCAACAGAAGTTCTTCAACATTTTAGAAAACTCAATGTAGATTAGATTACTTGTTTGATTTCTATTTCTGAATGTTTAATTCTATTCTTTTTAAATTAAAAATAAAATTGATGCCAAACAAACCAAGTTGAAAATAACGACAAATTTTTTATTCGTATATTTCTTCTTTAAAAAGTTGATTAAAATCTTATCAAGAAGACGAACGTCTGTTTTTATCAATCAAAAATTTTTATATTTCTTATCAATACAACTATTCCGTAGTAGAATAGGCTAAATTTTTTTTCAAAATTTTTCAATACCTATATTATCGCTCAGGTAAAATATTAATTTTTTCTTACTAGATGAATTAAAAAAATGCAGTTATAAAATTATGAAATTACAAAAATTCTGTAAAATTATCTGAAACCAAAAACTAATGTGTTTTTTTACATTTTAAGATTTTTTTTATATTTATTGTAGATTAATGAAAAACTAGGTGATTGAGGTCAGTTGTTGGAATCTATTTATAGATTTTTTTTTTATAGAAAAAAATCTTCACGATCATTTTTAATAGCTATAATATAATTTCTAATTCTAATTTGTTAGATTGAACAAAACAACTATATGAATGAAGGATAATCCATAAATGGAAAACGTCCACAAATGAGACATTTCAAGGCTAGAGTTTGGGTTGAAAACTGGTTAGTAAGAATAACACAACTGCTAAATTTGTACTTGAGAGGGTCCCATCTGAGGGTTAGGGATAATGAACAAGGTAAGGGAAAGACAAGGGTTGTGCAGGGGTTAGGGTAAAAGCATCATTTTGTGGATATAATCCCTTATCCCGTGACATTTTTTCTCACACTCTTACATTTTTAAATATTACATTCTTAAGGATGCTGGAAAGAACATCCCCTACTTTGCATTTTTAGCCTAACCTTAACCTAAAAGCGGATAACGTTATCTTTTTTGTCCTTAAACTCCTCTTTGACCTTAACATGGACCAAAAATAATGAAATCCAGATTCATTTATAAACCTATTATTACGAATTGAAAAGAAAGGACTGTTGCGGAAATATCAATGGGACTTTATCCTAATAATTGATGATTACAATATTTACAACTTTAGCAATAGATAAGATATGCTAAAGTGACATATTGACTTGAACAGAGGATTTTTTTGTTAGTGTTTGTTGGAAAGTTTTATTATTTTATCAGGAGCATCAACATCTTTTTTTACATAATCTGTATAGGATCCTCGAGACCTTTGGGTTCCAACACTCCAAAAGAACCGCTCACATTGTTGTTTCATACCATTACACTTTTCTAGTTGAATTTGACAATTTATAGAGTGATGTGAATCATTGGTTTATTACTTGTCGAATATTAAGATTTAGTGTATGATTCAATTTCCTGCATCAAGACATCTCCTACATACTCTACTTGTTTTGACACTGATGACAATGGTAATGATGATGATAGTCGCTTTTAAAACTTTATTCATATAGAAAAATATGTCTTGGATGATCTTTGAGAATGTTTCTAAATTTTGCACACTGACTTTCAGACAGATTACAAGAATGAAAATCAATTTGAGAACAACCTTTCAGCATGTTTGTAGATTGATTTTCAGTTGAATTACACGAACTAAAATCAAAATTTCTTATAAAGTATTTGATGAATGAATGATTCCATTACAAATATGTGATAATCCAATTATAATTGGGTAACATAGTTTCTGATAGTATATTGATATAACCTTTGGCATGCATCCTAGAAGGGATGAGTCCTCTCTCTCTCCCTCCATTTTATGTAATCAAAAACCATGATGTTACCACCACCAAGCTTCACAGTTTTAGTTGTATACTCTAGATCATTTCTAGTACCAACTGGCCTTCTTACATATTCCCTTCAACGAGGATGGAGTTCAACTTTGCTCTCGTCACAGAATATTACTTTTCTCCACATATTTGAGCTCCATTTCAGTTTTTGATTGCAAAACTGCATCCATTTTTTAATTTGCTTCCTGTTTAGAGCTGGCTTTTTATCTGCAATTCTCCCATTTCATTTGTATTTGCAGAGAATTTTTTTTACACTAGTGAACAGCTGAATTTTTTAGAACTTGTCTAGCTGTCCATTTTGGATTTGATCTGGATGTTTTTGTGAGTTGTAACTCCACCCTCCTAGTGATTTTGAGTATAGATATTTATCTGAAATTTTTCATGATGTTTCACAAGTTATCTACCCTACAGAAAAAAATATTCACAACCATACATTCTATTTTTAAATCAAAATATTTCGATTTTGGACATTATTTGTTCACTTTCTCTATGGATAAGACAATTTCTTTTGAAATATTGTCTAGTTAGAGCAGTAGTTGATTAATTGATTTACAATCAAACTATTGGGATAAACAATTGGGTTAGAACACTTCATATACATCAAAGTGTTTCTATACTACTGTTAATTACAGCTCATAGTTCTATTTGAATAGATTTATGAAAAACAATACAAAACTTTTTGAAAAATAGTTGCTACAGCCATAATAAAATGATTTTCAACATGACTGTTATGTTGGAAGGATAATAAAAACAAACAATTATATTAACAGGGTTAATTTCCAAATAAAATTCATACAACTATTTTTCCTAATTAGTCAAATTTCATTAAATTTTTAAATAGTAATGTTACTTAGTTGTATTGCAAAAAGAAACACAATCCAGTAATTACATGTTATTAAATTGGTCATTTACTTCATAAAAAACAAACTTTTCCCAACTTGAAATGAAATTTAGACCTTGTTTTACTTGAATTTTTCAATTTCTTATATTTTTTCCACATTCAGAAAAGAAAATCATATTATATTATTATATTCAAGTTTCATTATATAACAGCAAACCTTCAGAACATTATTAATTCAATTGACAATATCAATGTGTTTAAAGGCCTAGTAGAAAAATTTTTTATCAACAACTAAAAAGCAAGCTCCAAGGATCAGGAGCAAAAATCAACTAAAAAGGGACCTCCCTGTAACCCTAACCTAACTCTACTCATTTTACCATCCTTCCTTGGATCAAAAAATATTTCTGCTCTCTTTGCCAATTTAATATACTGATTAACTGAGTTAATCTTTCCTTCTTTTTATGCATGATTCTTTTCTTCTTTACTTCTTCTAATAAAACTTTGAACAGTTTCATCATTGAACTGCCTCAATCTATTAATTTCCTTTCAGTGCCATTTGAATTTTTCCAGAAAGATATTTATTTTGGCAATGAAAGAATGTTAATTTTTGCAAGTTACTAGATGTTAAAACTCTTGTCTATTGCAAAATGGGTTAACAGAAAATGTCCACAAAAAAGAAATATAAAGACCAGATTTTGGATAAACAAAATGGTTAGGAAGAAGAAGACATCAACTGATTTGTACTTGGGAGGGTCTCCTCCATCTGTTATCAGCAATGGAAAAAGTTAGATACAACCAAAAGCTGGGTTAGGGTTAGGATGTCTTTGGGCTTATCTATTGCAAAGCTTTCTAAACTCTGCAATTAGTTCTTCATTTAAACCACAGTTAAATAAATAAAGATTCTTCAGAGGGTTTGATGACATTTGAAGTCCGTCACAAATATTTAAAAATCCAATTCCCATATTCTTATTATTTTTCTTTTATGCTAACCTTTTTGTTTTGACATAGCAGAACACTAATAAAAAGTTGTAAAATATTACTAACTTCCATTTCTGAAGTGACTGATTTGTTGCTATGGAAATAGTTTAAATTTCTTCTCCTTCAGTCAGATGGTGTTTTTTTTTAGATATATGGCAATTGTCTCATTTCAGATGTTATATTAAAATATATGTGGGATACATAACACGGGGTCGACAGAAAACGTCCATGAAAGAAAACGTCCATAAACTGAAAGAAAACGTCCATGAACTGAAAGAAAACGTCCATTAAAATAAATTTCATTTAAATATAAATATATGTTGAAAAAGTAAACCTTTGGTAAAAGGTTTACTTAAACATATAATTAATAAATGAAATATTCACAAAAAAAATCACTTAACTTTTCCTATTAGCTTAATTTTTTAGGAATTATATTTCCTTATGGAGTGAAAGAAAACGTCCATAAAGTGAAAGAAAATGTCCATAAAGTGAAAGAAAACGTCCATACAGTGAAAGAAAACGTCCATACAGTGAAAGAAAATGTCTATAAACTAAAAGTAAATATCCATGAACTAAAAGAAAACATGAATAAAAATAAATTTCATTTAAATGTAAATCTATATTGAAAAACAAGTTAATAGAAAACTTTTTGGGGTCGGGTGTGAACGTACCTGGGTGCGAACGTACCCGGGTGCGAACGTACCCTGGGCGGGTGCGAACGTACCCAGGTACGTTCGCACCCTATTTTTATATTTATTTTATTTTTGAATTTTTGAATAAACATGTACATTGACACCCTTTTTTCCTTCTGTTCCTTCATTATATATTTGTTAATATATTGATTTGATAGAATGCAGATATTAAATAGAATACATATCCCATCAATATTAAATTACTACTTTAAAAGAAAATGTTGTTGAAAGTGAAATAGCAGCCATTTTAATAGTGATAGTTTTATTAAATAAACTTTCACTTGGAATATTTATCCTTGCAAAAGTAAAGCTATATTTACTGAATAAATTTGGACAAAGTTCTTCTTGGAAGCTTCAACAGAAGTGAGTATTTATATCTAATCATTGAGATTGTTGATTCATGATATTTTGATGTAATATACTATCTTCAATTGTGAAAAAGCTGAATATTTTTCATAAATAAAATTTCAGCCATTTTGAATATTTGGAAAGGAAATTTATTGATAACTGGAAATATTTTTAGATAACCATTGGAACCTAAAGTGTACAACTTTAATTTAGATGAAACATTTTTGCCTGATGAATTTTTGCAGAAAGATATTTGTGAAAATGGAGAAAGAATTTTAATCTTTGCAACAAACCATCAGCTGAATTTATTATCAAAATCCAACTGTTGGTACATTGATGGTACTTTCAAGATTGTAAAAGAACCATTTTATCAACTTGTCACTATTCACTCATTTGTTAAGAAGAGTGGTGATATGAAGCAAGTTCCTC